TCTCTCTTGGGGCCGGCCATTTAAAAGTCATTTGGATGGTAAGCACTCACTCTAACTCTCAGGGCCGGCCATTTAAACGTCATTTGGATGGTAAGCACTGCCAGTCAGGGCCGGCCAATTAAAATGTCTCGTGAACTAAGCATCTTGTGAGAAAAGTTTGAAATAAATATTTATTATCTTCAATGGTAAAAATACCTGCCATAATCTTAGCTTGCCTATAAATGTGGTTTTTTGTACTTTTACTCATGTTGCACGTAGGTGTCATATGTTTGTTCTGATTCTATGATATGATATTTTTGATTCTGTGGTAGCATGAATGCACGTTAGAGATTTATTTTGAGTTTTTACAGTTATTTCGAAATATTATATATTTGGCGCCTTGATGAGGAATGCGTGTTCGATCGAAGATACATTGTACCAACAACTCTTCTTTTTATAAATAATAGTATAATGATATTACATGGGTATTAATAAACGAAGGTAATGTGATACTACGATACCTGCGAGAATTGTAAACCTCAAATGATTGTACGATTACCCTGTATGTCGAGTTTCATACAGTCTTTTTTTCTGCCGCTATTAATAGCTATTGCAAGTAAAACTTTTACTTCAACGGTTACGAGGTAGGTATTGAGCACGAACCTACTTTGACCGCGTTGTACACATGTAAAGTTAAGATACAAATTGTTTAATAAATGTCACTAAAGTTCAGTATAAGTTCATATTTCTTCTCAGCTTAATAACTGATACAGTACTCAGAGTGAATCGATTTTCTGAGTTTAGAGAGTCCTGTACGGTTTACCATCACTATCCTGGGATTGTTTTGAAAGAGCAACATGCTCAATCCGACAAAACATTTAATAGAATGATATTCAATTATTGATTACTTACCAATTACCAACTTATATCTTATTAGTCAAACACTAATACTGTAATGGAGATTTATCATAACTATTATCATTATGCAACGAACTGCAACCATGGAATAATGAAGGTTATCGATAAATGAGAGCTTATGAACATAGTCGCACGTATTGGACATTTAGAGAAGTCTATTTGTTTCCTGTTCATTAACAAGCGATTTATTTTGCTTTAATATTTTTATTAATAATCTTCTAATAATAATTATTATTATTGTTATTAGAGAAAAGTATCCAATCCCAGGCTCGGTCCCAAGCGAGCCCCTATATTTACAGTTGTGTAGAGTGATGTTGCGTATTGGAAACGTTCTAAAATACTAGATCTGAGGTCCAGTCAAGCGGTGGGGCTCTTCATTTTCACTTGTTGCCAGACAGTTGGCCAATAGTGCGAACAGCGAAAAGCAAAGTTTTTTCAAGGGCTTAGTCGCAGTTACCTGATTTCACTACTTCTTCGATAAGTCTCCTAAACATTACATTAGTTTGAAAGTGCCATTACAAGCATTTGATTAAGAGTAATGAAATTTATTTTACTTGCCTTGTAAAAATGTTATTGGCATTTGAAATATAAACATGCTGGTGCCTAACTTGAGTCCCCCAAAGGTTCCTACCGCAATCCCCCAATGTTTCGTCTTGTAAAATAAAAAGTATAAGGTATTTGGCACTTGTTATACATTGGGAGACTAATAAAAAGCAAGAGCGTACTCGGAAGTTTATTTGTTCAAGAGGCTAGAAATAAAAAGAGGTAAAGAGGCAATTTCAGAATTTAATTCTAGAGAAGTCTAAAAGAGAGATTTAACAAAATTTTGAAGTTAGAAAAAGTAAAATGAAGATTCCACCTTCCGTAAGGAATGGAACACATATCCCCTGGCTCTTCCATCTTGGAAGCTCTACCAGGAAGAAGATACAGATTGCGTGTTTTGCAGAGTAAATTTTCAGAGAGCTGTAGGCAAACTACAGGTAATGTGCCTGATGCTCTCTGAGCTCAAGTAGAATGTGCGGGGGCCCGAAACGTTGCTTATACATGTGACTTTTATCGTTCTTCTTGACTATCTGGAAGATATATTGTACAATTTCTTATGTATAAGATGTTAAACTTGTACGTTTGTGAAATTATACCGAGATCAATCTACTTGCAGTTTTTTTTCATTTAGTTTTACACATTTCTGAAAACGTTTAAGGGGCTCACATTAGGAAACATTTTTTATAAATCCACAAAATGTAATGTTTACGATAAAATTATTTTGCCAATAATTTTGGCCAATAATTTTAAGTACAATATAACTTTTGTGTAATTAATGTATTGCAAATATGTATGTATTGCAAATATTTTTATTTATTGTGCAGAAAATTGGATTACAAAATATTCGAAAACGAAATGGGGGCACAGGTTTGGGTACTTTTCTCTATAATAATAATAATAATAATAATAATAATAATTATTATTATTATTATTATTATTATTATTATTATTATTATTATTGTTGTTGTTGTTGTTATTATTAATAATAGTTGCTTTCAACTCCCTTCTTGTATTCACTTAATGGAATTTAGATAACAATTAATGGAAGTCTTTGTTTGTGGTAATTGAATTCGTTTATGGTTGCTATGCGAAAGGAACATCCTGATAGTATGAAATGTATTGACTGACTTGCGTTCTGCGTTGGAGAGATTGAAAGAGAGATTTCACCTAATTATCAGTGTATAGCATCTAAATTCGAGCAAATATTTGTATACGTTAACCTTCACGTATTCAAGAAGCATCAGAACGAAGCATCAAGGTACGCATGAGAAGATGCAATTAAAGAAAAAGATATTTTGAAAAAGTGAAGAAAAGAATACGTGGTGATAAGATAAGCGCTAGACAGTTCAACGTGCCTCTCGTTTTCCTCTAATCTAGTCTATAATGTAGTCTTCTCTTAAAGTTTTTTGTTGCATATTCTACGATAATAGAGTAGTTATTTTTCATGGTCAAATGTTTGAAACTGTTTTTAGATTACTCCAAAGAGATGGTAATGTTTTGTTCTTTAAAATTACAACCATTGAAAATGAAATGTTAATTCATACAACTTTATCTTTACCAAGAACAAAATAATTTTCAATTTCACAATCTTAAGACTCTGTAGAGTGAGCCCACTATGAAATATTTGCTATGGCAAATAACGTGATTACCGAAGGGTTTGAAAAACTGAACCACCGACAGAAACAGGCAATGAAGCTTACACCCAGAAGACTCTGGCGATGATATAATCTTTTTGACAAAAATCATAATTATTTGTATTGCCAATTATTAATATTCCAGTCAGATATGCACCATCCTATGTAATTTATTAAAGCAGAGTATGTGGAGAGGAATCAAGCTAGCATAATATTGTACGTCTCTAACGAATAGGATATGGAACTAACACTACTATCAAATCAAGTAACATAAAGCCCCTGGCAAAGCTACATTTTTACTTTTAAAAAACTAAATTAATTACTTAAAGCAATTTATTAATTTACCACTTTTAATGATAAAAGCTCTGAGGTCGGAAAGATAGGATAAGTTTCATGCCTAGTGGGTTCCATTTCCCCTAGCAAATGGAGGCCGCCTTCTGAAATGAACACAGCGGGACAAGAGTCGCACGAGTTCTAGGCGGGAGGGGTTCTAGGCGAAGAAGGCTAGTGCTTGGCAGGGTGCCCGGTCTCCCAGCGGGTGAAGCCAGGGGAAGTCGCTGCGCCAGGCGACGTGCAGCTCGTGAACAGGAACCCGGAAGCCAGCTCCATCGGCTGCCGTCGACAGACCACCAATCACAAGGGAAATTAGACTTTTCCGGGTTTGTAGGCCGTTGTCTAACGGAGACTGGTCCGTACGTTTCCCCTGCAACTGTGACAGGCATCATCAGTGGATGAAGTTGTAGGCCTCGACCAACTTGTCGTGGTCTTCCTCAGGGCTGGTATGCGAAGACCACGAAAAGATGGTCGAAACGTCGGCAGCACAGCCTTCGACGCGGTGACAGCCGGACAGCCAAGATCACGCACATGACTCTGGCCGCGGAAGCCTACGACTTCATTTCACTACCCTCTACGGGGAGGAATTTTACAAATCCGCCAAAACTTTCGCATACCCGCCCTGAGGAAGACCACAACAAGTTCGTCGAAACGTCGACAACAGGCCTTCGACGGCGACACCCAGACCCCCCTCCCCGCCAGCAATACCACTAATGGTGCCTGCCACAGTCCAGACGAAACGTATGGACCAGTCTCCGTTACACCATGGCCCACAAATCCTGAAACGTCTAATTATGTAGAAACCGGCCGTGTAAGCCTACATCGTATGTTATCACAAGGGAAATGTTTGAAAAGTTAGAAATTCTATCAATCATTAGGAGGAGAGATGTGTTCATAATTTATTTTTAGTAAGATAAGAGCGATCAATATGTAGATGAGAGTAAAATTCACAAGAAACCAACTTTAAATAGCAGTTCTTTAAAGATTACTAATTTACCACTGAGACATTCAAACCAATGATGGACACGGTCAACGATGAGCCCAAGTGTATATTTTCCCTTCCTTCTTGGTTTAGACAAAAAAATTACTATTTCATACTTTAGTACGTTCATTATTAGAAGCTTTCATAACTCTGTAGTTTCGTCTTTCAACGCTTATCAGATATTTATAAAAAATTCAAAACCGTCCCCATGTGTAACTTTTCCATAGTAACTCTGGTGTTTTCAGTACTCCCTGAAACAAGTCAGAACATTGTTTTAGTATATGTTGCTGTATACAGTCGTATAATTGGTGCAACGTCATGAATATTGAACTCGTTCTTTAAAAAAAACGACGTGGCTACCCATAATTCCGCGGAAAGGACCGCGAGAACAGAAAACGTTTAAAATATGTATTCTTTTACCACCGCTAAAGAACGTAAAATATTTTAACTCAAACATTCAGAAGGTAATTTTTATATCACTTAACACATTTGTGATTAGTTTATACAATTTCCGAATATACAATTTGTCTTCTATTACGATACAATTTACTCTGAGGTCAGTCACTGAACCCCTCATTAACACCCCTTATCGATGTTCTTCGGATATCGGAATGGCATTGGTAGGTAAGCAACTGTTAAGGATATCAATGACCAGGTGAAGTAAATGAAGTCTAATTTACGTAATTACGACTACATTTGAGAGATGAATATTCCGTTACATATACTCGTACAATACTAATTAGAAGTATCAGATACGTATTTAGTATAAGATTATGCATTCGTAAGATTGTGCGGGCGTAACGAATCTGCATCCTGCAGCTGTATTCGATGCTTAACGAAGCTGTTTTGTTTTTCATTTTTTAAGAAAGGGCGTGCTCTCAAGCACCGCTCAAAGTACAAGAATTGAGAATCTTCAAGAGATATCAAACTAAGACTCTGCGGTAAAGTGGTGATATGACATCCTACAGCATTAAGTATACATACATTTTTTTAATGGAAAAACGTTGGACCATATCCCACTGTAAGAAATATTCCTACAACTTGACAGTCGAGATGTAGGGTAAAGAAAGTTGCGAAATAATAAAGAAAGTACATCTATAACTAATGCACAAAACATCCTCTCTAATCAAAGTTAAGTGCAAACACGTGCATTAAGTTGAAGATATTTCAAGAGTGTCCAAAATTCGGTTTGTTTGTTGTCTTATTGAAGAATCCTCATGTCTTCCCGGCGTCGCGTTGCAGGTGAGCATTACGTGGGTGATCCCCGCCCTTCTGTTCTTCATCTCCATCTTCGGCTGGGAGCACTTCGTGGGCTACCGCGACCTGCTGCCCGGCCAGTGCGCCGTGCAGTTCCTCAAGGACCCGGTCTTCAACACGGCGCTCATCATCGGCTACTACTGGACCACGCTGGTGGTGCTCTTCGTGCTGTACGGCGGCATCTACAAAACGGCCTACGACATGCAGAAGAAGAGCGAAGCGAAGCAGCGCAAGATGCAGAGCATGGTGAGTGGGGCGGCCACGTGCTCCCCCTCCGTTCAGCCGCCCATCGATCCTCCCGTCCGTCCACCCACCTGTTCATCCTGCCATCTATCCATCCATCCATCTATTCATCCGTCCATCTATTCACCCATCCATGTATTCATTCGACCATCTATTCATCCATCTATTCATCCCTCCATGGATTCATCCGTTAATCTATTCATCCATTCATCCATTCATCAATTCATCAATTCATCAATTCATCAATTCATCAATTCATCAATTCATCAATTCATCCATTCATCCATTCATCCATTCATCCATTCATCTATTCATCTATTCATCTATTCATCCATTCATCCATTCATCCATTCATCCATTCATATATTCATCTATTCATCCATTCATCTATTCATCCATTCATCTATTCATCCATTCATCCATTCATCCATTCATCTATTCATCCATTCATCCATTCATCTATTCATCTATTCATCCATTCATCTATTCATCCATTCATCTATTCATCCATTCATCTATTCATCCATTCATCTATTCATCTATTCATCCATTCATCCATTCATATATTCATCCATTCATCCATTCATCTATTCATCTATTCATCTATTCATCCATTCATCTAGTCATCTATACATAAGTGTATCGATTCATTTATTAATTCATCCATTCACTCATTCTCTCGTCTACACATCCACCTGTTCAACCATCCTCTTCTTCATCCACCCTTCTGTTCATCAATACATATATTCGTCATCCGTTGATTCATCCATCCATCTATTTATCCAGCCATCAATTCATACGTATATTCACACATTCAACCATCCCTTAAGTCATTCATTTATCCCTCCACCAAACTATTCATCTACCCAACTATTCATCTGTCTACTTATTCAACCATCCCTATTTTCATTTATCCTTCTGTTCATCTATCCATTTATTCATCAATCCGTCTATTCATCTACTTATCTATTCGTCCATTCATGGCAGTGTAGAGCATTATCGGGACAATATGGGGCGAAAGAGGGTAGGGCAGAACAGGGAGAGGCAGAGTACGATGGAGGAGGGCGGGGAATGGCGGAGGAATAGTTTACTGTGGATGCACTTAAAGTTTTATTTTGTACTGAGTTTGTGTAATGTTCACTGAAACATGCATTTTTGGACCCCGTTCTTCTAGGACGACTACCGCTCCACTTTTGTAGAGAAGCCACTTTGCGAAGTTTAGCTGTAGAGTTCAATTTTTCGCTGTGTATGGACATGAGATATTCTAGGCCCAGCATTTCTCGATGTTTCCAACCTCTAATAGTTAAATAAATATAGAATCATAAAGGGTTTTCTTTGGTTATGGTTTTCGAATTTTTAAGCGATTTTTTACATTAAATATGTAATCTGCTATCAAATATTATTTATTTCTTCATTACACACAATTTATATTAATATTTCACAAATGAACTTCTGTATTACTGCACTGATTGTAGTGTATGGTATTGACGTAGTTTGTGCTTTCATTTTTAAGAATATTTGGCAATCGCGAGCAGTACTTTCAAATTTGCTTCAAATTCCGTGTCTGAAACAATACCTAAAGTTCTTAAATGAGCAATGTTTTAATAAACGTCCATGGGTATTAATATAAAATGTTCCTGTAATTCCCTTCCTCCTTGCCAAGGTCAATAGTAATTGGAAGTACGTAGGCGACTCTCGCCCGTAATATGTAGGAAGTTTTGACAAAACCTTCAACAAATACGGCGTTCATAGACGGATAAAATTCAGAGGGTTCAATAATGATTGAATGTGAAGGTAAGACACAAAGCAATTGTGTGTTCGGAATTTTTGAGTAGAAGTATAATATTATCACTGGACTCGTAAGTCCTATGCCAGATACTGTAATAAGTAATTTGAACAAAGCTAGGCATGAATGAAAAGAAGTATGAAATAAATTTTCAACACATGAAATTTTTAAAGCAGTTTACAGCGTGGGTAACGCCACATTCCATTAGTTTTCTTGTATATTGGTATTTAAGAGACAATCATCTCCCAATATAATTGAGTCCCATGAGTGATAATATAATAAGTATATGATATCTATAAAGATGAAAGGCTGAATGGTGATGGAGCAATGCTGGAAGAAGAGGCCGGGGGAATCAGGGAACGGCTGGAAAACATTCCAAGAGCCCGATGTACATGGGTTGGCCAGAGATCAGTCCCAGGTTGAAAGAATGGAAGAAGAATGCGCCAGCCATTACCCCATGAAATACCCTAAAATGGTGCATCTCGCGAGATTTCCAGTCAAATCAATACTTGGAATTAATTTTTAAAACGCGATTTTTTTTGTTGCCAAAAACTCTAGGGAAGAGATAAATAATGCAATGAAACTTTCTGAACGAAAATATGAAATCGAATCGAACAGAAAATATGAAATAGCTTTAGATAGCAATGTGCGGTGTAGACCAGTGCGAAGGAAATTCCGGCACACTTATCACCAGAGAACTGATACCTCAACCGTTCGAGCAGCTGGTGGAACGCCTTTGTCAAGACGTGAATTACGTCTGTTCGAGTGGGGCGTGATCATGGTGGCCTCGTGACTGGGATTCCATTTTCGGATTCCGTAAATACTCAGCATTCCTCGATCTACAATTTCACGCATCGGAAATATCTCAGGGATATTACCTCGGATATTGGCATCTCTGCGCACAACTCAATGGGGCTTCACGACTGTTTGATCGCTGCCACTCATTGTCCAATCTCCTTATTACCTGTCTATGCTAGAGACTAATTACGCGGGTGAGTAAAAGTTCAAATCTAGTAGATGTAAAAATAATAAAACGAGGTCGAAATTATGCTATATTAATTTGAGTCGCCAGAGTTATATCCGTTTTTACAACCTACATTTCACCAAATCAAAGGCCAAATCGGTAAAACTCTTTAAAATGCGACACTCATTGAGGCAATAAACTATAAAATGACATCGAATATTTTATTTTCTTATGAGCGAATTTCATGATTTAAAGCAAACAATTGTTATTTTATTACCAATTATCAAGATAAATTGTAATATTAGTACCACACGTTAATAATACACGTACATAATTAGTACCACACGTTACATCAGAGGTTCTCGAACATTTTAAAGATTGTACCCATCACACATGACTTCAAAATGAATTACACGATTGTGACAATTTTAAAAATATTTTCTGGTTAAATTATTTAAGTATTTTTAATTTGTACAAAAACTATTGTAATGTCTTATAAAAAATATTACCTAGATGTGAGAGATATTGAACTAGCCAACTCGTCTCAACAACCTATTATAACACATTTTCTATTGTTATTTATTTACCATCAAAAATAGTAAAAATAATTGTTACGTATTGGAGAGAATTACGAAGTTCTTTAATTCTTCACGAAGTTTTTTTTGCCATAAATTGAATAATAAATATTAACATTATTTATTGTCATTGTAATTGACTGAATGGTTTTAGTTCTGTAGTTAAGAGATTATAAACCATCAACATTTTCAATGAATGGCTCTGTCATCATGATTTGACAGTTCTCTGGTCCATATTAAGTTTATCGCGTAATTTATTTTTAGATAAATCATCGATGAAAAAATGTTGTCTCACAAATACGTTGCTGAAAAAGGAGTAAACTAAATGGCATCGTGACCAATTGGCTGAAACTTGTTCAATAGTTCAATATCTCCAACAAAAAGTCTGAAACCATTATTTATTGAGACGGAATGTGATAGTTTCATCACGGGACAGTTCAATTATTTGGCAATTGAGAACAGTTTGAGAACTCCCACAATTATTTCTCCGCCACAAATTTACAGTCGAATACCATAGTAGATATTTCACTAACGACAAATTATATGAATGTTTTTTTCTACATTTTTGGTAGGTTTTCTGTTAAGTACTCGCTGTCTATAATGGCTGGCAGGAATAGTCACGCAGGTTTAGATGTTTCACTGCTAAGAAATACTATTGGATTTCATTAGGGTACACATAATGAACATTAAAATAAAAACAAACTATGTAAAAAATGAGAAATATTCAATTGTTATGAAATTTCTAAATAATAATTGGGTCTAATAATAATAATAATAATAATAATAATAATAATAATAATAATAATAATAATAATAGAAACAATAAGGAATTTTGAATAATCTTTGAACTTCCTATCAGCGAATTTTCGTGATTTTTTTCTTAAAATGAAATGTATTTGCCCTAGGCGTGTTAACGTTATCTTATAAATTGGTTTTATGGGATAATCACTCAATTTTAGTAACAATCCCAAATGAATACTGTGAACGCTTGCCACTCGATTTTTATTCATTTCATCAGTACCAACTAATTTGAAGTTGACCTTTGTTTTGTTGTGTCCAGCAATAATCTGACGGACGTATCACTTTAGAAAAATTGGATTTTAAAATGTCGTTTTATAATCCACTACAAAGCGTATATTTTACAGTTCTAAGTAAATATAACATTTTTCAATTATATTTAAAGAAATGTTCTGTACTCACCAAATGTTTAACACTATGATCTCAGCGAATGGTGGATGTATTATTACAGAATTCGTAAACATTTCTTTAATCTAGGAGAATAAATATTGAACGTCATGAAACAATACTTTTCAGGTCTTCTATTTTCCGTAGAGTGCATGTGTTTAACTTTTCTGTTGTAACTTTTCCTCAGTTCTTCTTTTTATGCAATGTAATGGCAATGATTGAGCTAGAAATATGAAATGTCATTAGTAATGGGGAAGCTCAGATACTGTCATTTTTAGTGATGAAACTGTTTCACCCCATTTCATAAATATATTAGAATGAAAAAGTCATTACTATGAACGGGAGAACAAAAATGTACATAGGTTAGAAGACCAGCGTTTAACTCGTGAACATTTATTGAATTCGGAAGTTAATCAGAGTCAAAGAGAACAACTTATGGCATTCAACGATCCCAGAGTGTATAGCCTAAGTGAAATATACAGTCAATCTATAGTAAATGTATAAAATTTGTTTGCCGGAGAAAACAAACATCATAACCATAAGCGTACTAGAGGCGAGCAGAGGACCCACATTCCTCTGAAAATTTCAAATATCGCTACGTAATTAAACATTTTATTTATGTAAATATGATAAAATCCTTGTTTTCCCCCTTTTTCAAGCAGACAATTTGTGGAATTGATACACGTTTGAGGAAGAAACCCGGCAAACCGTTTTGTAACCTGTAAACGATATGACCTAAATCAAATGTTTCATTAATTGTATTATTCAAGTTATATTTTCGTATTCTTTGTATTTATTTAGTACATAAATGTCATATGTGAATAAAAAAAGTTTAATGGAAAAGGTAGAAATGGTCAAAGATGTTGTCATTGCCAACAATATTTTTTAATGCAATAGCAGCTTTCGATGGCTTAGCCATCATCATCAGTTGTCTGCTAGATGGAGGTCTGCTAGGTAGTCGTTTTGTGGCTTCCATCTAGCAGACAACTGATGATGATGGCTAAGCCATCGAAAGCTGCTATTGCATTAAAAAAATTGTTGGCAATGATAACATCTTTAATTATTTTAAAAATGCCAAAGATATCTTACCACAACACCTATATGTAGAAATGGTCACCAGTATACGTCTGTACGTGTTATTTTAGAGTGCGCTCGCCCACGTACTTCATGTGTGCTGAGCTTGGCCCGTGTGCGCAGGTGGCGCTGAGCGTTATATTTTCGTATTCTTTGTATTTATTTAGTACATAAATGTCATATGTGAATACAAAAAGTTTAAAGGAAACGGTAGAAATGGTCACCAGTATATGTCTGTACGTGTGAGTGCGCTCGCCCACGTACTTGATGTGTGGTGTGCTTGGGTGCGCGTGCGCAGGTGGCGCTGAGCGCGGGGGCCATGCAGGGCATGGCGGGGCGCGCGGCGGGCATCGGCCTCTCCAAGACGCAGAGCACGTTGCTCAGCCAGGAGAAGCCCCCGGCGGCGCACACGCCCGCGCACGCCCACGCCACCACCACCTCAGGTGAGTCACTCTCCATCGACAACTGCCCGTCGTCCATTGCCCATCACTCAGTGCGCATC